TGGGACAGGACACTCAGCCTCCCTCCTCCTCATTTACCTCCCTCCATTTTCTCCCTCCATACAGTTTCTGGAGCAAAGTCTCTACCATGAAAATATGACCATCGGCTTTTCAGGCTACCCAGAACCAAACCATTTTGCCCTAAGTGTCAATTTCTGAACGCTGTCTGGGAGTTAACAACACTCTTCAGTGATGTGGTGTGAAACCGATCAAGTGTGCACAGCACTCACTCAGTGTGAAAGGCTTACAGGAAGGACAAGTAGATGACCCAACTCTTGTCTCTAAAACAGGTCACATGAGGAAAGACAGGTGAAGAAAGTGATGTCTGGAGAAAGACAAGATCCTAAGTTTTCCACATTTGAAGAGCTGGGATAGCATTTTCTGTGAAATTAGTATAGCAGCTACTATATAAAAGAATCTGTCTCAGTGCAGGAAGTCTTTAATATCGAGGAATGCCCTAATGTTAAGACGTGGTAGCAAACTTCCTGACACTGAATCTAAGCGACCTTTCGTTAGGGCTGTTGAGAAGGAAATTCAACCATGGTTTGGGTGAACTCAGTGTTTTACAGTGCCTCTTCGAGTTTAGAGTCTGTTTTTAGAATATATCTGCTTATTTTTATTTGACGTGTACAGGTGTTTCGTCTGCAAGCAGTGTTAATGGTATGCAAGCAGTGCTCAAGGAGGGTACTCAGCCTGACGTATTTGTCATGCCTTTTCCAGAACCCATTCTGTGGACCTGCATACAGACATATTGGGGAGTGTGTTTACCCTGCTTGTGCCCATTTTTCTTCATCTGATTTTGTTTTTTCTTGAAGTTCTTGGGAGATGGAACAACTGCATTATAATGCGCCACACCAACTTGGGTAGGTGATTTGTTTGAACCTGGGGGTGACCTGATGAAGGTGTCAGATGCCCTGGAGCTGGAGTTAGAGACAGTTGTGAGCCACCATGTGGGTGCTGGGGATCGAACCCAGGTCTTCTGGGGTCAAGGCAAAGATTTTCTGAGTTTTTATGGGGGAGTTGCAGCTGGGGAGGCATGGTAGAGTTACAGAGTAGGTCCTCCTCGTGTCTGCAGCAGCAGAATGAACATGTGAGTTGTTGGACCTGGGGATTGGCTGGCTTTAAGTTCCGTCCACAGTGTCTCAGCCCACTGAGCTTGCCATTCCTTCTCCAGACCCATCCTATGGCCCTATAGGCAGAAGTACTGGAGAGTGTGTTGAACCTGCTGGTGTTCATTTTCATCCTATGATTCCTTTTGTTCTCTTGGAGTTCTGAGAACTGGAACTGCTGCTTTATAATGGTTCACACTGGCATGGGTAGGGTAGGTAAAGGTGCTGGGGTTTAATGTGCTCGTCTCTGTGTCTGTCTTCAGTGTGGGATCAGAGTTCCCAGGTAGGATAATGAGAGGAGGAAAGAGAGTTAGCCTGAGTTCCGACTCTGAAAAGAACAAACAGGATTTCAAGAAAAACTTTTTAAGAGGCTCAATCATGCTCTCGTGTTGTCTTTAGCATGTTTTTAAATTAAAGTGTCTAATTTCCGGCCTTGCGCCATGTGTCCAGGCTGCTGAAGTTACTAGCTTTTATTTGCCTTCAAATAGCTCTCATTCTAGTTCAGAGGGATAGAAAGACAGGAAATGTGCGGGGAGAGGTGCCTGCCACTCCAAAATCTGGTTGAATCCCTTTGCCAGCAGAGAAATAAAAAGTGCTGCACAATTAACAATTGCTTAAGGCCTTTCTCCTTTCGCAGCTGTAAACACTGTAACTCTTCACCACATATCCCTAGTCAAAGAAAGGACGTACTAAACTCCTTGTGCAACCCCGGTGGCTTCTGGTTTTACCTTATCAGATTACAATTTCATCCAAGCCATCTCCAGGCCTTTTTATAATTTTATTTATCATGATAGAGAAAAGAAGAAACTGTTTCTTAGCAACCGTTTTAGATATAACTCAAGAGTCAACAAAAATGTAGACGTGTCTAATGCTAAAACAATTGAGACTCCTTGAGGAAGCCCCACCTACACTTGTGTACGTGTTACTTTTCGTGATTGTCTTGCAGAGAAGCCCACACCCAAGCCCTTGGGTGAGTCTTTCTTTCCCTGAGCACCCTGCTTTCTGCTAACCCCCACACTCAAGCCTACATTAAAATATCTTTACCAAAATATCCAACTCTGCTTCATAAATTAGCCCTAAATTTCTTTTCTGCATGGAAGCCATGAATCCAGACTTGAGGTCCCCCAAGCATTAAAGGAACTCCCCAGTTTGTGAGGGTGGGGGTGAGGGTGTGGAGCTGTGTCACTCTTGTTTTCGACAGGGTGAGGGAATAAAAGGTGCTGAGATAAAAACAGAAGAAGGCTAGTCTGTGCTTGGCAAGTGTGGGTGACTGGGGAAGGAGAAGACATTGGAATTGATTTTCAGGGATAGCTGAGGTTGCCCTGCACTCAGTGGGGAAAGCCTTCCCAGGATGAGGGCAAGGAGCCAGCCCAGACCTAGGGTCATACTCTGTCGGGAAATGTCAAATAGTTTATGTAGACTCTGTAATGTACTGTGTCCAGGAAAGCGGTGATCAATGCCACTGCCAACAGAGTTTGAGGTAATCCTCACCTAAATTCAGGAAATCACCCGAGTGCTACCTGAAGTTATTTTTGAAAACATGGCCTGGAATTTCATGAACTGTCATTAAATATGGCCAACGTTGTATGCTCCAATCTGTGAGTTACCAGAAATCTTGCTACACATTCTTTTCCCTTGACCACCTTCTAAAATAATACATTTAAGGTCAGCCAAAATAAGTCATAATCAGGAGAGCCTAGTTTCTGGAACGACTCAGAGTGTAGGATAAGACAGGATGAAATATGTATCAAGAAGACTTGGGGTCATGTCCAGTTGACTGGATATCACCAGTGGGTGCTCTAAGGGAATTTTATCTAACCAGCTATGGTCAGATTTGTGAACTATGTAGAGTTTGTTATACTCAGATCCACGAAGTCCCCCCCAAACCAACAAGGAGACCGAGTCCCGTATACAAAAGCAAAGAGCCTTTATTTTATACAAGTTTGCAAACTTGGTCTCTCTGTGTGTGCAAAGTATTGAAATAATCGGAGAGCCCCAAGCTCAGTTAGAGTTGGGTTTTATAGTAGCAAAGGTGGGGGGTGAAGGATTTCTAAGGTTTAGGACCCCTGATAGGCTGACATTTGTCTAGGGGTGACCTGGTGAGTGTGCTGGCAGGTGATCCTATCTACAGTGGTTGGAACGTTAGGCATTTCCTTTGGATGGTCTGTTCCTGGGTGGTGCTCAGGTAATCTCAGTTTGTGGTCCTTCCTGCAACCAGGTATTGCCTCAGGGTAAACTACTGAGACTTAGGACCTCTCTGGAGCTTATCATGGCTGGGTTCTACAGAGTTCAATAGCATAAAGTACTCCTCAGATCGCAATGAAGTGAATTTGGGAATTTTGCTTCATCTCCATTATGAGTGTAGCTGATTTGAAATGTGAGCACAATGCTTTAAGTTTAAAATGACTAAGGTGCATTTATTATAAAGTGTAATACCTTATTGGGGAGAACAGCAATAAGGGTTTACGTGTGTGGAATATGAACATAGAAGAGTATAAGGGGAAACAAAATCTCCCACCTAAGCAAGACACCCAAAATCACAAGGAGCATTTTGGGGCACTTGTTTTCTTGTTACAGGTTAAGCTCATTAAAATGAGTTTTTAGAAACATAACATTTCATGTCTACCTTTTGTATGTCTCTATGAGGATACCCTGCTCACTCTTACCGCATATATTAAACTTCCCTAATGCTCTCCAACTAGAATGTTAAGGTTGCAATGAGTGGAAAGGTGTGTAATTCAGACAGTAATTTAATATTGACAAAGGATCCAACTGAAATTCAAGTTCTGATACATCAATAAATACTACAAAGACATAGGTATCCTTTCTTTCTCTAGACCATCAAGTCTACAATATAACACGGAGGATGTGCCCAATAAATATTGGTTCCTTGAATAAATGAAGGAATGGGTGTGTGTGAAATGTTGTTTATTCTTCCCCCCCAAATTCACTGGCAAATGCCCTGTTTGGGTTAGACAATGGGATGCAAAAGCTCAATTGGAGGCTACACATACCCCCTGGGAAGCTACACGTGCCGGTCAATCTTTCGCTCGTACTTGTGACTTCCCTGTGGGAACCAGCTCTTGTTAAGAGTTAGAGAAGGAACTGCTGGTCTGCCCAGTTTAGATTCTGAACTCTTGAAAGGACTCCAAACAGTCCAGCCTCTGCCTTAGCTCCCCGGAAGCCTCAGTCACTGCTTCATTCCAACTTGTCCCTGCCCAGAGGCAGCGTGCAGTGGAGGCGATTCCTCAATGGAGCTAGACTAGAGGGACTGAGACAAACCCTCTCAGGAAGTCTTAGTTTGTCTTAGGATGCTGAGACAAACCCTCCGCCACCACAGCAGCTAGTCCAACTGGAAACCTCAGAGAAGACCAGTTCTGGCCAAAACTGGTTTGGCAGCTCTGGGGGAATGTTTCTGGCTGACTGACCCTCACAGCAGGTGCTGGTAGTTTTGAAAGAGAAAAGGGGAAAGGGGAGGTGGGGGGTAGACTAAAGGAACTAAAGAGGGTGGCTAAATTCAAAACACTAAACTTCGGCTCACTTGCAAGTGTACACTTGGGGATTCTCATAAAATTACTACCAGCCCACCAGCATCAGTCCTTCCCTCACCCTCCCGTCCTTTGCAAAATAGTTTTGTTGCAATGCAGTTTGTTCTGCAGCGCGATTGTTGAAACTACTAAATTCGGCCGAAAGCGACTTTACCAGTGTTTTCCCCCACCCTGCAATGGTACTGTTATTATTAAAGCTATTGAATCTCCGCTCTTTCCCCTCCTTACAGCAATCGCACTCCGGCTGTGATTGCTCGGGTCTGACTTCGCAAGTGGCGGTGCGCTTCCAAACCCCCTCATCCGCCCCTCGCCCGGCTCTCCCCACTCCCTCCTTTTCCGCGCCCAGGCGAGAGCAGCCGATTGGCAGAGCGGGGCTTTCAGGAACAATAACAGTGGGGGGAGCCGGGGCCCCGGGGAGCCTCCCCGCCCCGGCCCGGCAGCGGCTCACGCCCCCCGCGGGGTCCCCACCTCCGCGCCGCCCCGCGGGCTGACCGGCGCCCGGGCCCGCCCCCGGCGCCCACCATGTACGCCTTTGTGCGGTTCCTGGAGGACAACGTCTGCTACGCGCTGCCCGTGTCGTGCGTGCGCGACTTCAGCCCCCGCTCGCGACTGGATTTTGACAACCAGAAGGTGTACGCAGTGTACCGGGGCCCGGAGGAGCTGGGCGCGGAGCCCGAGAGTCCCCCGCGTGCCCCCCGGGACTGGGGCACGCTGTTGCTCCACAAGGCCCAGATCCTGGCTCTGGCAGGTGAGCAAGCGGGCCGGGAGGGGCGTCGGGTCCGGGCGGACTAGGGCAGGATCTGAGAGAGGCTGAGCGGTCGGGGCCGGGGAGCCACAGCTTGCTTTTGCCTCTCCTTCCTGTCCCGTGGGCTTTCTTTTGGGTACCAGGTGTCTCTAAGAGGCCAGACCAGTTAAAAAGACCCGAGGGTCCCCTTTGTCTTCCTTGCTTCCCTGACACTCCCGCGCCCGGCTGTCAGCCTGCCTTCTCTGCCCTCTTCTTTCTGACTCTTTTGTATTCTCCTTGCCTCTTCACTTCTCTTTCACTCGCTGCCTACCCTACTGTCATTTTCTCCATCTCTCACCTTTGCCTCTCTCACAGTCGCTTTCCACCTTAAGTTTCTCAAACTGTTCCTTCCTCTCTCCCTTTAAGGCCACTGGTGTCTTCTTGGAGCTAGAAGCAACAATTTTAGGTCTTTTAGATGGGGGCCCTTTCTCACAAGAAGGAATCTCTAACACCTTTTCCCATCAGGGCCATCTTTAGGACCCAGGAGGCCCAAACTCAGTGTACTGGCCAAGTGGAAGGGGGCCCTAAGGTAGCTTCACCTCCATGCTCCTTTTTACATCTCCCAGAACGCTCTCTGGGAGACAGAGATAGGGGCAAACCGTTTCTATTTCAGGTTAGGGCCTGGCCTCCTAACCCTGATCACACACGGGGTCAGGGAGAGGGAAAGGAGACAGACTGGCAGTTGGTCTCTAAGTAGATGGATAAAGGTACAGAAATTTGGTTGGTTGACAGGGCAAGCCAAGCCTTTAGCTTCCTGTACTGTGGCCCCTCTACAAGCAAAGACAACTCCAAAGTTGACCTCTCCCAGACACTTGTTGAAGGCTTGGGCACACACCAAGCAGGGAAAAGGAGCTTACCACTTCCATCTAGGGGCAGAGGAGTAGCTGCTGCTACCTCTGGGTAAGAGACAGTTACCTTCCACGTGGAAGACAACCCAAGGTTAGGAGCCCAATGAAGACTGTTAGGGTTCTGTGGTTTGACACTTTTCCTACTTTTTCCAGAGTCCCGTGTTCCCTCTCCTTTAGCCTAAAGACGAGACTAGTTTGAATCATAGTGGCTTGCCCAGGATCCCAGGACAAGCTGTCGGTGGACCTCAGCCTCGTGGCCGATTACTTTTTAATACCTCTGGAAAGTATTGTGGGAATGAAGGAGTAGAAGATTTGGAATGGATCAACACCACAAGATCCCCTTTTTGATAGGTTGAGCCCTTAACCACTTTGCTGACAGACCCGGGGTGGCGGGGGGGGGGGGGGGGGGGGGGCGCACAGCTGTAGGTCCATTCACCCCACCAGACACCAAGGTCCAAGGGGAAAAAATGAGTGAGAGAGAGACAGGTTTTAGAACGGAAGTCTTCATAACTGATTAGGTTTTGTTTGCTTGCTTGCCTTTAATTACCTAGGAAGGGATTAGGAATTTATTCAGCAAGTTGATAAGCCTAATAATTATAACTAGGTGTAACCTCAGCCTCCTTTTTGCTAGAAGAAAATAGAGCATGCTTCTTAGTGATCCTGCCACGCATATATCTGGAAGAGCCCAGGAGAGTGGATGGGATGGGTGTCCTTTCCTTTGTATGGAGATTGTTGATCTCCACTCAAGTATCTCTTTGTCCATTCATTCAGCAAGTTCTTCAAGAACTATAGAAAGACGAGTTAGGCAGGTGACAGCCTCTACCAACTGTTCTCTTCAAATCGACACAAGTTGCAATGGTGTATTAAGTTATATACAGACATGCATCCATACCCAAGAAACCTAAGCAACGGCTAGAAACTCGGCAGAGTAAGTGTGGTACCAGTTCAGCAAGCTGAGTTAAAAAGTGCTTCTTCTTATCTCCAGTTTTTGTCTTCAGAGAAGAAAGGAGTTGGGTGGGTGCGTGGCAGGGATGGGTGGGGACAGTGGCAACTTGAGGGTGGCCAGACTCCATTTTGAATTCCAGTAAGCTGGTTAAATTTTTAAATCGGAACTGTTGTTCTTGGTGCAGATCTGATTGGAAGGGCCAGTGTGATTGGAAGGGCCAGTGTGAACCCGGAAATTCATGTATCCTGGAAGGATTCTGCCCTGTGTGTTGAGCTTGGTGGCTCTGAAGCTTACTTGAAGTGTCTTCACCTGAAGAGCGCATCTGACCCATGCAAAGAACGTGCTATTGTCTGAACGCAATCAGGCCCCTTGTGGGGCTTAGGGTTCCTGTAGGCTTTAAAGCCTCGCAGTTCATAGGAGCAAAGTTCTACTACAGCACCAAGTTTGGGGAGTTAGTTCCTCAAGAGGAAGACTGAGGTGACTTTGCATTTGTGGACTGCTCCTGCTTAGTTAATTGTTCTGACGTCAGTAGCGTGGTATCAGGAGAAGCTTCAGAACCACTTATGGCTTTTGGTGATAAGTGAGTTAACTTTGCCATGCATTTGCCCAAGCCAACCACTGTAACTGTCTTGAAGTAAACCCTTTTCATAAACCCAGGAAATGTCCAGCCAGCTGCTTTGTACTTTGCCACCCACAGTAGCTTATGCCATGGTCTCAGTGTGTGAGCCTTTAGCGCATGGCTTCCTCTGTTATTTGGTCTAGCACCCATTCATAGATATTGCCATGGTTCTTGTTTCCGTTTTGTAGATGAGAACACTGAAGCTCAGAGAACTCCCTGCCGCCACATACAAATAAATGGCAAAGCCAAAATTGCAGCCCGGATCGTCTAGTGCCAGTCCCTGCTTGGCAATCTCCTTTGTGAGGTGGCTGATGAACCAATGTAACATGACATGGAAGGGCCCAAAGGGAAGGGAAAATGTCGATGAAATGTGTAGCCCCAGGCAGGTTTCCCAGCTGGAGAGAAGAGAGTTAGTTTGGAGTATCCACACCCACATTGCTCTTCTTCCTCTCTTACCCGACCAGTCTCCTCTCTCCAGGAATCGAAAACTTCCACACGCTCTCACTTGTCATCTCATTGACAGAATCCTCTCCCAGGAGCTCCTGTCCCTTCTGAAGGGACAGGCTAATTCAGGGGTTGACTCCCCTGTGAGCTGTGTTCTTTTCTTACGTGCATTTCTTTGCCACGCAGCCTGTGAAATTGAGAACTTCCCCTGCAAAGCCCTAGCTATTGTCTAGTTGCAATCCAGCCTGCTTATGGGGTTTAGAGACTCCAACTGGTTCCTGTAGGCTTTTGTAGCCTGACAATTCTGTCATTTTTTCCTGGGCATCTCTATACTGTGTGATTATTGCTTGACTGCCCTAAATTCCCTTTGTGGTCAAGTGTGGCCTTCCTGTTTCTCACAGGCCAGACCCAGTGCAGTACTGCGTGGCTACACCGAGGCACTAGGATCACAATGATGGCATGAGCCATAGAAGACAGTCTTTTTAGGGCCAGCCCCATGGGATTTCTGTGGAGGGGGCAGAGTGATGAAGACACAAACACTGTCCTCAGGGAGTCTGTAGGAAGTGTTAAGCAGAGGTTGAAACCAGGCCCCAGTGAGCATCAAAGGGACCAATTCTAGGAGAGTTTGGAGTCTTTTCTAGATCTTACAAGGACCAGCTGCTTTCAGTCTTCTAAAGCCTGCGGCAGACTAGTTCATTCCCCAGTGTCCAGGCCACTGTCTAGACTGCATTCAGAATGTTCTAAACTGCTGTCTGTCAATAGACTGCTCTGCTCAGAACCTTCTAGAGCTCCCCTATGGCCTGCTTGATAGAGCTTCAGCTTCTTGGCCTGACATTCATGTCCCAGTAGGCCAGCCCAGCTCCACTTCTTCAGTCTCACCCCCCAGCCCCCCAACCCTGCTTGCCCTGGACCTGAGGTATCTCTTGCTACTTTGTGGACACAAACTCCCGGGTCTGCCACTGTGGAGTAATCTTTGTCTAACTTGAACCCTCTGTTTAAGTGGAGTTTACCTTCCATGGGAGAAAACAGACTTGGAACCCATTGTTGGTACAGCTGTAAGAGGGGGTGGGCAAAGTACACTGGAAGCGCCCAGCCTTAAGGGCACTACCTGTTCTGCCTCTGCCCCCAAGGGAGACTTTCCCTCCTCAGCTCGCTTTGTACTGTGCTTGCTGCTGGCTTTTGACTTGTAGCAGCTGAAGCCTGTTTTGGTTAGTCAGTGTTGCTGCCAGGCCAGATAGTGGACTTCTCCAGAGCAGGGGCCTGCTGTCCAGCGCTGCGCATCCACCTGGGCCGGGCTGTGCTGCGCTCCTGTAGTTTGTGAAGGCAAATGCTTTTTTGTTGGAAGATAAGAGACAGGAGACATGCACCTCTACCACACTTGGTTTTGTTTTTAGAACAGAAACCTGCAACGGGCTTTTGAGGTTTCATTCAATTTTATTCATCTGGAAAAAGTCAACATTCTTTATCACTCCCTCAAGTAGAAGAAACCCCACACTTGGGGAAAATAAGTCCCAAAGCCACGTTCTTCTCGCTTTGGTAATTTTAGCTCATTCAGGGCTCAGGTCCCAGCTTGGCACTGTCAGTCCAAATAGATCACTTGCTCCAGAAATGCTTTGGAACTTCTACAGAGCTCGCAGCGAAGCAGGGGCCTAGCCAATCTCACATGCAGAGATTGTTGCATGTCATCGGTGGGAGCATGCCAACCAAGGGATTGCTTTTTTTTTTTTTTTTCTTAAACTAAGCAAGTGAAAACTTTTAATTTAGGTTTTGACATGTTCCGCTGATACACACTGGAGCAAAGACTGGGACTTGCCTGCTGTCATTTGTTGCAGATTCTACCGGAATGTTAATCACTGACGGTTGAATCTGCTGTGAGCTTTAGTGCTCAAGAACCACACATTTGTTGCCTCTAAGTAATGTGTGCGGAAGAGTGCCTCAGGGTCCTGGTTAATAGGCTGAAAGGAGAAGTCCCAGGCAAGTTGAAGCTTTTGTTGTTTATTTGGTTGAGTTTTTTTGGTTTGTTTTTTGGGGATGTGGGCGTGTGTGTGTGTGTGTGTGTGTGTGTGTGTGTGTATTAATTTGTTCAAGAGCACTTTAACTTTTACAT